TGTACAATAGCCCACTTATTCTGCATTACCTCAAAATTACTACCATATGCTGAAACCCATAATACTGATAAATATGCGGCTTTATTTTAATTTGCTATGTTTTAGTTACAATTTTCAGAAAAACTTACCTATTTCAACAGCAGCACAATCATCTTAATTTGCATAAAAACCAATGCTAACCAAAGAGCATTTGAACTTAATTCTTTAAGAGGAACTAAGAACCTCACAGGGTACCACTATAGCTTGCATATAAGAGCATCCTAAGGCAAGGTACTAGGTAAAATTTTATAGAAGTTATAAACCAAATATACTAAAATGAAGTCTCTGTGTCTCAACAGTCTTCCACAATCTGCCTAGACAGAGGAACCAACCCTCAAGAACAGGGGTTTAAACTCACGGCTCTCGCAGGCTGTTTGCTGGCCCCACCCCCACTGCTCAAGAACTATGTCCAACATCCCCACTGCAAAAAAGGAATCAACAATGTCAAGGCCTTCTAATGCAAGTAACACCAAAAGGTAAAGAATAAAGGAAAACCAGTTGAGTCTGTTTAGATTATCAGTTTGATCTGATAAGACCTAAAGCTACAATATCATTTAATTCTTAACCAGTCTATAACAATATTTAGGCATTCATTCTGAATCAATAATCCTACATTTCTTGGTTAGCAATTAGTACCAATATGATCACTAAGACCATGCAGCATTTAAGATTTAATTCTCAAAAGAAAATTGGGAGTGTGGATTAGTGCCTAACTGCAACACATTAGTCTTTGGTGAGGAAATGAAACAGGTGCTAAATTCATGCTCCTATATATTTTGAAGCACTTTTTTGAGACTGAATGCAAAGTGCTGTACAACTCTTAACAGTTAATGATGTCAAATGATTTCAAACAGGCACATAAGGAAGTGGAAGCATATTATGGCACTGCAGCATCTGCACTGAATTAAAAATAAATAAATATTCCAAATAGCTCCCCAAGTTGTGCTGTGTCACACACAGCTGTAGACTAAAGCCTAAATATTTTATTTCTATTTAACTGAGTTCTCACAACTCCTACTAGCACCATGTTTCCCATGAATCACTTAAGAAAAAAGCAAGATTATACTATACTAAAAAGTTTGGAATTGAATAGTCTGGACTGCATGAAAAGAATGTTTCATAACATCTACAAGGATTGTAGAATAGTTTGAGGTCAAGATTAATATTGGTAGTATTTGGTAATAGTATTTATTTAATAAATAAAATAGTATTGATGCTTCAATAGTATTATCTAAATCCACCCTGACTTAGTGTCAAATAATGTTGTAGGTTTTTTTGTCATATGCCGTATATAGCATGCTCTATCATGCTTTATTTCCCCACAGAATTTTTAAAAATCACTAAGTCATAACTATATAAAAAGTAAAGCTCACAAGAAAATGTGTATAATGTGTATTGTAAGATAATTCAAACTTCTAAAATCTTCCAGACTTATTCCCCAAACAATTGAATGCTACCTAGCAGTTTTTAGGGGAGATGTATCTGAGGAAAACAAACATCTTGCGTAACTCAACTGCATCTCAACAGTAACAGGACAGTAACGGCTATTTGCTATGACCAACTTAAGACAATATAAAGCTACCTTTCTTATGTACAAGAACATATTTCATGACTAGGTATATAGTAGAACCAATAGGAGGCAAATTCTGTGATGACCTTATACTTCCCTAAAAAAACCCGGCAGTGTCTATGAGAATTCATTATTTTATAGTTTCTCCAAAATCATAATTGGGATCTGAAAGGACTTAAAGGAAACAATCTGGCAGCAAATAACTCTTTACCATAGCAAATATTTCAAGGAAAATAACATGTTTCAATGTAAGTTATGTATAGTTGTTCAGTGATAGTAATATTCATTACTTAGGCAATTAAAAATATCTGGACCCCAAATCTATAGAATTAAATGTAAAATAATAGTTTTCTAGAAAGATCAAATATAGTAATAGTTATATAAATGTTACCCCCATAAAATCCAATCAATATATTGAAAGACACAGCAAAGGAGAAGCTATTCCAATGACAGTCATAATCATCATTTTATTATTAAACATATTTCATTTTCATTAAAATCAGCATATTTTGAGCACCAAAACATTGAAAGTACTCATGGGAAAAAATCCAAGCAGCATCACTATTATAGATGAAAACTATTAAATATAACACAATAATTTGTATCAATTGTTCAGGATAATAACAGAAAAAGGATAATAAAAATGATAATACAACTATATTACTTATTCTTCATAAATGCATAAGGATAGCTCAATTAATGTGATATGGATTTGACAGTCTTTGTGTTCATCAACTTAAAAGTTACATGTTGTATCCTACAATTAATAACTTGCAATATTAGGCATATCTTTAAAGATCATAACAATTATAGCCAAGTAACCTATGGTCTAGGGCTTCTGATATAAATCTTAATTACTGACAAAGTACACAAATAGCTTTAATAAATATTCCAAGGAGAGAGAAAAAATGATTCCATCTGCTCTCTTTTCTTAGATTGATCAGTTTGACTGGATTGAAACATTATATGAATTCATATACCCAACTACTGTTTCTGTAGCAACAGCACATTCTTTACCCACTATATCATATCAAGTCTAAACAATACACTGCAAGAAGCAATTGGTTTTCCTATAAGATTTTTTATTTATACACTAAGAATGTTTTATTTAAACATTCTTAGGAATGTTTCTCTAACTTTGGTGAAATATAGATTATCTGCCAAAATAATTTAGTGTCTAAGAGATTATATGGAAAGAAGCTGTTAGCTTTTATGACTGATATTCTGAAAATCAGAACAAGGCCTAGGTTATAATGCCTATGGAATTCTGTGAAAAGTTTTATTCTTACATATTTCAAGCTAACAAACAATTATAACATTTTATAAGAAACAATTCTATAGTTGATGTTATTTACAGATATTTTACTAAATTAAACCTTCTGAAGTTAAAGCTAATTACATAATGTACTATTGTTACCTCATATTGTCACCACTCCCAATATTTTCCCCTTATTCATTTTCCTACTGTAAATGAGCATTTATGTTTTCAAAGTTTCTCAATATATGCATGTTTTCAGCAAGTCTGCAAAAATTATTGCTAAAATTTTAAAAATATGACCCACATTGATAATTTTAGTGATTTTTCAAGTTCATTGTGCTTTTTTAAAATTATATTTACTCAAAAGTAAACTTTATTTACTAGATCTTTTAACTTTCTAACCCATGTTATTTGGTTTTGACTGGGGAATGTGTAAAATTCATGTTAACTAGACTATGACTTGTTCCGTAAATATGATCAGAAAAATCTGTTTAGTATATGTGAAATGAACTATTGCGGTTTTCCATCACTACTTAAACCTTAGAATAGCAATGCAAGGTATTTTTCTTTGTATTTATACAACTCCATTACTACAGCAACACAATCAACATGGAATGAGAAATTCTAGAAAATAGGAATACCAGAGAAAATATTGAGAACATCCTAGCAGTTAACTTAAAAGGTAATTCTCTATAGAACTTTTTAATTTTCATTTCTGCAAAAATTAAAAAACGTAAACATAGCAAGGAATGTAATCCATTGGCCTAAATTTCAATTTGCTTGGAAGAAATCTGGGACATGTATACCAAGCTTACTGAATAAGTATTGAAGTCTTATTTTACTCCCTGCAACTTTATCATCACTACATTAACGTATCCCTAACTTTATAATAAAGCTAATATGAATATATAGTATTGTTTGTGCAAATGTATGGGTTTCCATATGAGTTATAAAAACTTGTAAGGGATATTTAAAGGTACTTTAAGTATCATCTCTCTGATAATTGCTTTTGCTATCCATCTTTTAGAAACAATGTAAAATTCCTAATTGTCTTGAACTTCATCAATAGTTAAAAATTAAGAGTAGATATTGACTAAAAATAAAATGCAGATATAAACAAAAAAGTACATAGGAAAATCTCAAATCTTACTGTCAAAAAGCAACTGAAGAATCTAAATACAGTACTGTATCCTAACATATTTTATGAGAAAGTGAAAATGGTTACAAGTTTACTACCATAGTATCAGAGTTGCAAGTTTACTACTGATACCATCAGTTACTAATATCACTTATTTAAAATCCACTATAACTTTGTCAGAATTATTACCCAAAACCAAGATTAGCCATTTTTCTTTTAAGGAAACTTCTGCTTGTTCAATGGCTTAGTGATCGCCATTTCATAGCAGTCAGCCCACACAGAACAGATCAATAACATTACAGACACAAGACTAGACTGCATCCATTTAATAACCACAAGAAAAGTGTACCATTCAGCAAAATCTTACACAGAGCTCTCACTAGCAGATATGTAATAAGAAACCATAACTATACATATCAATTCATTTATAATTTTCTATTTAAACTCAGAACTGTCCTAGAAGTGAAATAAAAACAGATCATCTATTACATTCTAAATAATGAAGAGACAACCCAGGTGATATCCTTGAATAGCTGTGTCCAGAAAACAAGCCTAACAACTAGTTGCTATCCAGAAAAGTACTTCCCCGAAACTACAAATTTATTTAAAATACAGATTTTCCGCTGCACAATTCAGGATTTAATACTATATTTGCTCCCCAATATTGAGGCTTTTAAAAAATTCTAAACCCAAATGAAACTATATTCTAATAATACACATTTTCACAGTTCATTTAAAAATGTTATAAATATAAAAAAACTTTTTAATTACTATAAACCTGAAAACATTTTGGCTTTATTGTATAATCCTCCAAATTACTAGGTTGCAGAGGTGGCTTATAAAACCTGTTTCAATACTTCACTTGAATACTGAACTTTACTATAATATTTCAGCAACAATAATTACTTTGTTGAAAGCAATATGAAAAATGTAAATCTGCATTTGAATCTAGTTATGTTGTTATGAACTAATGGTGAAAAAAAGCATATACTTGCCTGAAGAACAAGATATAAGAAAAACAGCAAACACCAGCTTTGTAGCAGCTCCCATTTTCCAAATTGTTAGAATCAATAGGGGGTTAAAATGCTATATCCAGCTTCTGAGATCTTATAAAGAACGAAAATCTGTCACTTCCTCAAAGTGATAATGTATTTGGAAAATAATGCATCCATAAGAATGAAACCCAGCTTTTATAATAGTCTCTCTAGCTCTTTTTCAATAGACCCTCCAGTACATTTGGAAACACATCATTTGGCTTCTGTTCTAATGGCAAAAATCCAATTCATACGAGGATGTTAACTATCCAGGTTAAAAGATGAACATTCACGAATGAAGTAGGCTGAATGTTAAAACTATTAATTGTCCTGAAGCACAATATATTCTCTTCAGTGTCAAATCGTATTTCCCATGTGTCCTGCAAACAGGCAAATATTAGTAAACAATACTCTTGTCTTCACTCTGCTTTTGCACAATGTAGTTATCTGGATGAGAAAGTTTCGTCTTCGTTTCAAGTATCAAAATAAATATGCCTTCGATGTCACAACCAATAGGAAATCAATTTGTAAAACACAGCTGTTTCCTATTAACAAATGCTGAGAGCAAACAAGGGCAGAAATGAGAGGTAATCAGTCCTCTATAAAATCACACATCTAAGGAAGGAATGGAGAGTCCTTATCTAGACCAGGAAAATGCTTCCCCTTGTTTATTCCTTCCGTTTGTTTTCACGATCTTTTTTCTCATTTGTCCAGCAGATTTCAGGCTTCTCCCCAACTCTTACAAGAACTCCCCCCATTCAAGTCCCCAGGCTACACTTAAAAACCGCCTTTGTATTTGGTATTTGAAATCGCACAAAAATGAGAAGGGAAAGTGGGAGGGAGGCGATGCCCTTTCCAGATGTTAAAAGGTGATTATTATTTTTTCACGGTTCTAAAAAAAATATATTTAAAAAGTGTCGAGAGCCTTCTGAGAGGTTTCCTGAAGCAGTTAAGCAGAAAAACGTCTTAGATAAATGTAGGTGAAGCGATGCTCCAAGAAGCCCAGAGATCAAATACGGGTATATTGGTCTTTTTTTTGGATCGGCCAAGCTGGCGGGTTAAATAAGATCTTTTCTCCTCGAACAATAAAACCCTTTTCAAGCTCGTCGAGGCATTTGTCGGCGGGCCCTTCCTCCGCTCTCAACCTTCACCGGCTCACCGTTTACTACCAAGATCTCCCCCTCCCCACCACCACCCTTCCACCGGTTTGGAGGCGGGCGATTTTTCTTCTTCTTCGTCTGCGGTCCAACTTGGTTTTTGTTTGTTTAGCCTCCCTTTTTCCTTCTTCTCCTCTTCCTCCCCCTCCTCCCTTTTCTTCACGCCCGCAGCGAGTGGTTGGAAACGGGGCGGGTGAGGGCACGGAGCCGGGTCAATCCTCGCTCGCCTTTTTCCTCTCCCTTCGTTGTGCCTCTTATGCAGCGTACACCAGACAAGCCCGTGCAGCGAGAACAACGGAGGGAGGAAAGGCGGGCAGGCAGTCGGTCGAGGAGCCTCTCGCCTTTCTTCTCCTCCTCCTCCTAACTCTTCCTCCCAGACTGCGAAAAGCCTGAGGCTCCGAGGTCCGACCCTCCGGTCTCCTGGCTGGCGAAAAGACGGCTAAACCGAACTTTGAGCTCTGGGTAGCGAAGTTGAAGAGCCGACGGCGAGAAAGAGGAAGGGCCCTGCCGAGATTTTCTTCCCTCGAGGAGGCGTCGGCGGAAGGCGAACCGAAGGAAAGAGAAAGCGCCGCTTTTATCGTCGCGCAGGCCCGGCTGGTAGCGCTGAGTAGCCCTCCGTACCTTGCCGCTCCCCTGTGGTAATTTCATAGCTACCCATTCACTTGCGTGGTGGAGAGAAGCGAGCCAAGATGGCGGCGCTCGAGCGATTGTTTTTGTTTCTTCTCCCCCTCCCCCCTTTTTTTTTCATCTGTCCCCACCTCCCCCAAACAGCTACCCTCCTAGCGCACGCGCAGACTAGCTCCCTCCCCTCTCTCCGCTCCAGTCCTTTAAATCTTAACAGCTGCCCCTTCCACACGGGGCGTGCGCGTTTATGGGCGGGGAGTTTCTCTTGATTGGCAGGCCGCGCTAAGCCATTTGGAACAAGGAGGTGGGGGGGTGGCTAAGGGGGGTGGGGTGAGGTGGGGCTCCTTTCCCGCGCCTCGCGGGTTTTAGGGGACGCGATTCTCCCGCCTGTGCGACGTTCCAGGTGTGGTGTTAACGCGCGCGGGGTGGGGGGCGGTGTTGTCGAGCGCCTAGCTCGGTTTTCTGCGCAATGCAAAAACGGGATCAGAACTCCTTTGGCTCTTTTCCGTCAGAGCAACAAACCTGCATATTTTAGCCTTAAGAGCTGAGCGGACGCTCTTAAAAGGTGTGTGTGTGTGTATGTATGCATACGCGCGCACTCACACACAGATACACATGCGCATGGGTGCGTCTCTGTCCATATGTGTTTATGCACACAGACATGCATGTGATAGGTATGAATTCTTAATCTTGCTGGAGGGGGGGGGGAAATCTGGTGAAGGGGGAAAATCACTCCTCGCGCTTCCTTAGCCCGTCGTGGAGATGCTCAATCATCCAGGTCCTGGTTGTCTCAAAAGGTGTTTTTCCCCCAAAAGGCAACAGGACTTTCTTGGTGTTGTTTTGTTTTTTAACTTTTCATCCACGAACCTTCTTACGTTCAACGAAGAAAAGCCAGTTGCCTTTCGAAAAGTGGGGCGGGGGAAGCACCTTTGGGACCGCTTGCTTAGAAGGGCACCGTCTTTGAGTTCCTTGGGAATAGTGATTTTATATGTATATATATATTCTTGCGAAAAGCCCTGCCAACCTCAGGGCTGGTTGTTTTTCCAACCGAGGGATAAGAGAACGGTTGGGTCGTTCGACGCGACTTCATTGGACTCAATGAACTGGAGTCGAAAACATGCTTGTCCGCTGACATTGCTTGAAGTATGAAATATTGCTGCATCAAAAACAAAAACACTGCGTGCTTTCAGGATCTTGAGGTGGAGGTGTTTGTTTTGGTTTCCAGCAGAGCTTTTATTTTGGCATGGCTGGTGGTGGGGATACTCAGTGTTTTAAAAACCTTGAGATTATAATATGAACGGGTAACAGATGTGACTTTTGGACATAGCCAGAACTCCTATTAGATGCTTAAATCTGCTTGCAAGGTGAAAGTTTGTTTTGTTTCAGAAGTATTAACTTCAGTATAATAACTTCAATCAACGTTTAACTTCAGAATATCCTAGGTTTATTAATGCAGGTACTACAATATGAATGAATATCCCAAGTGACTGTGATAGACCCAGGCCTGCTACAGATTACTATTCTTCCTTAACCTGTATCCTATTAGAACTTTATATAATATTGTGCAACTTTCATAAATAAAACCAAGCTCACAGTTTTGAAAAGTGTTAAAATTCATGTTACGCTTTTCATTAGGCAATGAGATTAGTGCTTAATTTCATGAATGTTTTTTTTTAAACTCATGGAGACTGAATAAATATATCCAGTAGGCCATTATTTGATAGTATGCCTATTAGAATAATTGTGTTCAACCCTAAGAGTTGATGGAATTGGACGGTAACTTTCTGCTATAGAAATAAGTTCAATATCTCTGTTTAGAGAACAGTTTCAGGTGTTTTCAAAAGATAATCTATGACCAAACATCTGTTTGCACTTGATATGTAATTAACAAGTACAAAACAGTTAGCTAATAACCTCTCATTTGAAAAGTCAGAATCTGTTCATTAACTTCCTTATATAATTAAGGATCAGAATGTTTCCTTCCCACTATTACATGCATTAAATCTATTTTTTCTTTATGATTTGAACTAAGACAAAAATGATACTTTTTCCTCTAGTAACCATAAAATCAATCATTATTAAATTGATTTTTTTCAGCAGCAAGTAATCAAGAAAAGCAGGAAAAACAAAGTTACAGAACGAGAACAGTTTGTCTGATTTGTAATGTCCTACCTTTAAGAGTAAAAGAAGGACTCTCATTTTTCAGTATTCTGTGTGATTGTAGATCTTATGTCTATATATCTTCATATCAGGATATTACATCATGGGGTAAACCACAATAAATAGAAATAAATTCCAGGACAGAAATTTCATTCTGAATATAAAGTGACCTGAGATGTTATGCAATATTAAGGTGGAGCTAAATGTATGATCCTACAGTCTTTATATAAACAAATTGCCCTTCGGGCACATGGCATCTGAATTGGGCTTTTAAAGCTGCGCCTAGGCTTTTGAACTGCATTTTGAGAAACTGGCACATAGATTTGTGAAATCATTTTACAAGCACTCTTAAGAAAAAAAACAAATATACAGTCGATATTTCTAACCACTTTTACATTATTACCACCTTTGTGAATATCTAAGATTATAACATTATTGTGACAATGGACTAAGAGATCTATTCTAAACAAGAAGTGACAGAAAAGACAAGGTCTCCTGAATTTGAAATGTGAACCCCAAATTATCTTCCTCAATAGCAGGATGAGTTACTTTAATTTTATGTCTCTTTAACTTTGTACTTTTGTTGAAAGTTTGAGTCCTTATTGAATTGTTGGAAGAAATATCCTTCTGGTTTCAGTTCCAAGTGGGGAAAAAGACACTGGAAACATGGAGGCTGTTTGGAAAGATGGTTTAATGGTGGACAGAATCACATGGCTTGGAGCTCCAAAGTGAAAAGAACCGTCACATGCTTCAAGATGTTGGGTGAAGTAAAAGAAGGGGCAGGGCTGCTGAGAGTCCCTTGGTTTCATACCCTCTTTTGGGCCCCACCTTAGTGTTTCCTGTTCCTATATAAGAAATGTATCCCATTGGCTGTCAGACTCCCAGGGGTGGGGGTGTCTTAGCTAAATTTGTGAACTTTGTCTGGACCACATGGCTTCACCTGAGTGCTAGCTGATTCAATCTTTCCAGGTGCCATGTGGTGAGGTGAGTAGAAGGCTTTATAGAGATTACTCTGGCCCATGCCTTAATGGCCCACCCATTAACAAAGGTGGGGGTAAGCTCCTACTTCTGAGGTGAGTTTCTGCTTCTGAGTTTCTACTTTTCTTTTTTAGGGGAAATATTCTGCCTTTTTAGAATATCCTAAAATATTTCATTTTCCTAGGAGAGGGGTGGGTTTTAACTTCCAACAGAACCTTTTGTTCTTGAGACCATTTCTTGAAAATGATGATGGCCTTTTCCAGCTAAATAATGACAAATGAAAATCCCATTACTTCTGCACTTTGCTGCAGATGCAATAAATATTCTGGAAATGTTCTGGTTGATATCAGTCACAATACTTTTTGAGAACTGTTTTATATAAAGGCATATGGAAACACTACTGAAACTTTCTAACTAACATGAGTTATACATCTGGTGAATAAGATAAATAATAAAACAAGATGGAATAGCCATTTTATATAATTCCTTTAAACTACATTCTATGTGTTAGTGTGAGGTAAGTATCCACACTGAACAGTTGATGTCCTGACCTTAAACAATGCAATGCAAAAAATACTAATTATTTTCAGCTGACTTTTCCTTGCACATTCATTTTTTATCATAGAGTACACAATACAGTATTTCAAAGATAGTGCATCAGAAAATTAATTTTAATTCAAAAGGCTTTTGACAATCTTTCATGGAAGCTGCAACACAAATATATGGTTGACCAACAAATAACCAATGACCAAATGATTTGCATTGCAATAATGGGACTTAATTGCTATTTCTGTAGGTATTGTGGGATGGGAGTGCATTACAAAATATGTACCATGAAAAGAAAACAGCAATTTATGTATTTGGTCAGACACTGAGGTGCAAGTATGTAACTGAAAAATTGTATTGTGCTGTCACCATACATATATCATCTTGACACTTGCATTTGCTTTGAGTATCTATATACTTA